GACCTATACAATTTTTTTCCTTTTGATTTTTTACCTGGATTACTGAGATGCATCAGGACGTTTTTTTTATCTCAGTTTACGAAAAGTCATCAAAATTCTTATTGTCACATAAATTTAATTTATTTTACATTAATCTTAGATCTTGGGCCAGCACATTAACGACTTTACACTTCCTGATGTAAACCTGATTGGAGAACACTCYGACGCAGCAGAACTTGGGAGGATGTTACAGCTTATATTGGGCTGTGCTGTTAACTGTGAACAAAAACAAGGTGCTTATTTGCATAATCTATCTGCACTCATCTGTTTGTGTGAAGGGAAAACAAATTTATATATTTCTGAAGTGTTGGGATCCTTCAYTCTTCTTTAAACGGCTTTTCTGTAATTCCCAGAATACATTCAAACCATAATGATGATGGAGGAATCAGTACAGCATGTTGTCATGACAGCCATCCAAGAGGTAAATGTTGTTCTATTTAAAACTCTAGTATTTGCAAACGGAACTGGTTTGACTTTGCTTTTTCATCCTTGCTGTTATTTGTGATTAACATTTTTTTTAATAGCTGATGAGTAAAGAGACGCCAGTCACAGGAGGAAATGACTCMTATGTGGATCTAGACAGACAGGTACAGAGATGTTTATATTGCCCACTATCATGAGGGATATCCATGTGTGTGTGTGTTTCTCTATTTCCTCACAAAATATCTCTTGAATAAAACTCTGGATGTGCAGTACATCTACAACTAATGAATGTTAGGATTCATCACATTTCAGTARGGCTTCCACAGCTAATCAACCTTAGCAAACACAAAAATAGCTATTACTTGATCCGTTTTACTGATATTGAGCTTAATGTTTGTGCGTGAGTAGCTGAGACTCATACCCAACACATACTTTGAGGTGCTAATCTAGAATTAATCATTTATTCCTTTTAGAACAGATTATTTGGAAGGAGCACACGTCCGCTATGTATCTGTAGTGGTATTTAAAAAAAATAATGAACTTACTAGGAATCAAATTAAATCTGCTTTAATGAGTTTTTATTTTTTCCTCTTGTCACAGCTGAAGAAAACAGCTGAGGAGCTGAATGATGCCTTGGCAACCAAGGAAGAGATTGCCCAGAGGTGCCGTGAGCTTGACCTGCAGGTTGGTCTCTTGCAGTAATGATTTCTCTTTAGGCTCTCTACTCTGTAAATAAGGGGTTCTGGGTACATGGTGTTGATAACATTGTTTCTGTGGCAGTATTATTATTTTGATAAATTTATATCCATAACATACAATGGGGTATTAGGTSCACACAACGAGATTTTTTTWAATTTGTTTTAATTACGAGATTAAAGTCGTAATATTACGAGATTCAGGTTCCCACAGGTCCTTGAAATTCTTGAAAGTTTGTGAATTTGAAAAAAATTATTTTAAGGCCCTGGAAAGTTTGTGAAAATAGCCAAAAATTACACTTGTCCTTGAATGCTTTTGGGGGATTGAAGTTCTCTATTCCCAAGAC